ATTTTTTAAACAATTCTATGAAACAACGTCGTTTTATTAAAACATAAAATAAAAATACTTACAAACCTAAATTTAATCGTTCTCTTATCTCTCAGTGACCCAAACATCTTAAATCTTCACCTCGCTGCCATGAATCTTTAAGAACTTACAATCGATCGGTCATCGCTGCAGTGATCAACTAGAAAAGGTAAGAATTTTACCCATTCAAATAAAATTCTTACGGCTATCGATGGAAAACAAAATCTCATTCTTACTTCCTTTAAATTCTTCTTTGTCAAGAACCTTCTCAAAAGAGGCAGAATCGTAGAAGTCATAGGAGATAGTGGTGGAAGCTTTCCTAGTTAAGACCCACACAAGCTAACTTTAATCGATCCAACAAGGCAGATGCATAATTACTGTTATTACTTATTACATATTTTACATATTTGATGATTGGTGGTTTGTTTTTTTATATTTTCACGTAGGATATATATTTATATTTTTTTAATATATAAAATCAGGTCAGCAAGGTGATCCCGTAACCCCCCAGTTGAACCCATGATCTTGTGACCCCTGACCTCGACCAGATCGATAGCCGGACCGAGTTTTTAAACACTAATTGCAATCACGGCCACCAGAGAGAGGAAAGCAATCACAAATCTGAGTGGTCTCTTCAAGTCTTTGACAATTTAAACAAAAATTTTGAATATTTTTCAACTTTTGGGTGGTGGGTATTTTTAATTTTCCAGGTTGGAAAACAAACGAGTTAGAAAATTTTGAGATCCAATGTTTGATCTCGCGATCTTGATTCTAATTTTTGGTTGTTTGATCAGTTGTATTTGTTAGAGAGAGATATGCATCGAAAATAGTTCTCTTCAAATATCATCCATATGCGTCTTTTTTTTTTTTTTTTTCCGGTAAACTACCATATATGCGTCTTTTAAATTTGCCATCTTTGTGATTTATATGTTTCTTTTATGTTTGTTGTATTGGGGTAAGATATTGTAGCTACCAATTATACTAATATTACTACCCATCATTTTCACCGTTAGATCGATTATGTTGATTCAACGGTTGTATTTATTTTCGTTTTTGGATGGTTATGATTCCCCATATTTAATATTTTATATTTATTTTCACATTTGTATGATTATGATTTTCCATATTTAATGCTTTCACATTAAATATGGAGAACTATAACCATACAAAGATGAAAATAAATATAACCGTTAAATCAACATAATCGATCTAACGGTGAAATTAATTGATAGTAACACTAGTTGGTTGTTACATTATCCTTCCCTTACATTTGAATATATTATTGTTATTATATATATATAGATGGTTACTAAAGAAAAATTATTATTACCCTAATAGTTTAATTTTTTATTTTTTTAATTATATCTATTTATTTTTTAATAAATTAAAAACATATTTAAAAAACAGAAGATTAAAATAGTAGAAAAAGAGCACCAATAATAAATTTTTTATATTAAACAAATTAAGATATTGCATTATCTAATCTTAATATAAGCAAATCACAAAAATGTCCAAAAACATAACGATTATCATTTCAATTCTTTCTTTTTTTTCACAAGTAGATATTATTATTATTTTTTCCCTGGGCTTCAAATTATAGTGGATGTTGAAACTATTTATTTACATTTGTCATATACATCATTAGCTTATTTAGTTCCATATTGTTCTTTCGGGATTGATTTTTCTTTTTGAGAAAAGTTCTAACTTGCCCATTTGTACTTCTCTTTTAATCATTTATCTCCCTATATTTTTCTTACTTGTTCACAGGGGCAAAATGGATAAATTAATCTAATATTTAATAGCGTTAATGATGATTTGTATGGAAAAAAATAGAAGAAATAAATGATAGAAATAAAAAATTAGGGTTTAAATGATTAGATTCTCCACAAAAAAAAAATAGAGATTTAAATGATTTTGGAGCAAACCCAAATTTTTAGACTTGTAATATATTCTTACTTTAAAATAAAGTAATCTCCCATATATTTTTTTCTATACCAAATCAATACAAAGTGGATCATGAGGAGTTTTATTTTGTCTATTTGATTATTAAAAATAAAACAGCTAAGTTAAATTAATTAATTGTAGCCAAATATCTTATAAGAATGTTATGAATAGTGTGTGAATATTCTTACCTTTTAGATATGCTCAAGTTTAAAATTTCACTCCATTTCAACATATATTGATTAATTTCCTTTCCATTTTTGCTAGAGAAGTTGAAATTTGTATGTTCTTAATCAATTTTGGAAATGGAGTACATAGATATCTTACTTATAGTTCCTATGCGTTGATTCCCACTTGTATGGTGAAAAATGGTTCTTAACAATATTCTACAAATATGAAGTGAATATGTACGTTGTTTCCTCTGTGTTATTAATGGATTATGTACATGCATATAAAAAAAGGAGTATGAGTGACCGGCAGTAATACCCCTCCTAGATGCGATTCTCCATACACTTTATACACGATTCGAAATCAACTCTTGTGAATGAAGTTTTTGTGTTGTTTCGTTTTTCATAAGCATCTTCTAGATGACTTTTATGTCGATTTGAGGGTGTACTACAACTTTTACATTGACCTTGATATATTCATGGAAATTAATTTCTTAAATGTTTTTTTTTTGTTACAATTTTCTTAAATGTTACTTCAAGATAACTATACACAAATTTGCTATTATCAAATTATTGTCTAATATTGGGAGAAATTATACTTACGACCAAATAAATTTAACCATCGAATGAAATCAAATCAATGGATATCATTTTATATAAAAAAATTTCTCTCTTCAACCACTTCCCCCACTCTCTCTCTCTCACTTTCCTCCTTCTATTATGTTTTGCTGACCACCATCTAACGGTTATAAATAATGTAGTAAGATGTGATAAACTTATTTAGTAGTAAATATAACACTCCCCATATATATTAACGTAAAAACATAACCATGAATCCCGACTTTGATTAAAGAAAAATGATATTCCAGTAATCAAGTCAATACCATGAACAGATATATTTCATGAAGATAGTTTCATTCAAAAATGCTATTCACGTTGTTATGGACATATCTCAATCACATATCCAATAGAAGATCACAATCTATCTCAATCTTATTACATCAACATAATCCAAGGAGGATCAAAGAATAAGATCCTTATCCCCTATAAATAAGGCAGCTATCATATCAATCAAGGGAGATCTAAAGCCCAAATCCATAAAGGTAAACCTTACAAATAAGAAGCTAAAGACTCCAAGTATATATTTTTGACCTATTTACTATTACTCTAACACTGTGCTGCATACACTCATGTCTTGGCTATACGCCTCTTGTCTGTGCGCAATGATTGGTATATTGGCTTTTAGCCAATAGGATATCTCTTTGATAGGTGTCTCTGAACTCATACCTTTACGGTATAGATCTACGGTTCATTAGGACCGAACACACATAATATACATAGCTGTAGAATGAAATTTAATTTGATTATGCATAAAAAAAAATAAAAATTGGTTAGGATTATATTGGGTTGAAGATTGTAAACTCCTCCTCCGAACTTTCTTACGCAGAAAAATGCTCTTTTTGAGTTAAAGTGCTCCACAATAAATATGGCATTGGGTAGGACTTTTGTTCCCTCTAGGGACAAAGATGTCTAGTTAAAAGACTAGTATGTTGATATTGTTGGAAGTATTCAAGTATGAGTTATAAAGAAGTACCACATCGACTAGACATATACCAAGTGATGACTATATAAGTGCAAAAAGACCCATAAACCTACAACCTTAAGGTTTTGGGTTAAAATGTGGTGTCAGATCACTTATTGTGGTTTATCGCTTGGTCCATGGATGTATCCCTTGCAATGGGTTTTGGGCTCCCCCATACCATTCCCAACTGTGGTATCAGAGCCAAAGGTTTGGCTGGGCTGGGTATTTAGAGATGGTGATGTTTCAAGGCTTCCGCAGAAGGCTAGTGTGACTCCAATACTTAAAGAAAAAAGACTTCCGCAGAAGTTGCCCTTAAGGGGATGTTGGAAGTATTCAAGTATGAGTTATAAAGAAGTACCACATCGACTAGACATAGACCAAGTGATGACTATATAAGTGCAAAAAGACCCATAAACCTACAACCTTAAGGTTTTGGGTTAAAATGTGGTGTCAGATCACTTATTGTGGTTTATCGCTTGGTCCATAGATGTATCCCTTGCAATGGGTTTTGGGCTCCCCCATACCATTCTTAACAGATATTGGATCTAGATGCTCTCTCAGATATCTATGAGTTAGATACCCTTGAGTTTAGGGTATCACTGAAAATAACATCGTTTGCCAAATGAATGGTATGTGTGCATATTAACAACATAACAGTAGATAGAGAAAAGATATTCATACCTTTAAGTTTTATTTTTTGGAAACTGATCCTAATTACCTCTTTGAGGCGAATCAGAACCCCCGGTATCCCCACGGGTTCGACTCTTTGAGTCGCCTATGGGACTAATCCAGAGTTCGGGTACGAGTCCAAAGATTACGATACTTATGCCACTCCCCAGATGGTGTTGGTGGGATTCGAACCGAGGTCCTCTCCCACTACTCAGTCCCCATGCTACCAACTGAGCAATCACACTTGGGTACCTTTAAGTTTTACTTCTTATTTATAAGATTTACCTTTGACAATGAAATTCTAAACCTTTGATGCCTCCTCTAAAAGCCAGTATCCAAGTTCATTGCTATAATATTAGATTAATATCTTGGATTGATACTTTCCTTTAATTATATTAGTTTCCTATTATTGTCTTTACGTGTGAAGCTTTTTATTTTTTAATTATAATTTTTTATTATAATTTTTGTTGTTTTTAGTTATTGCTTTTGGTCCCACGATGTATTTTAAGCGTGTGGGACTAATCAGTAATCACCATACAAGCATTTGATAGCGTACCCCTGCCCTGATTATAAAGTGACATTCAAATCTCTATAATTAAAATTTGCATAATAGCTAAAATTGCCAACTGAACTAGCTTGTTCTTAATAATTGCTGATGGCTGTATACTACTTTTGCTCATAAAGTTTATTATATTAGGTATAAATAATAATTTAACATCCCTGCCCTGTTCTCTTTTTCGGGTGAACAAGGCCTCCTATATGCATTAATGTTAAACATGATTGCACTATGACACACATAAGATTTTCCTCAAAACAACAGAATGTATTGTACCTTAACTTACCAATGAAGCTTGAAACTAGCTGCCTGCATAAGGGGATGTGCAAAGTAAGCTCCTAATGTTATGGTGATGATTGTAAAGTATGGCAATCGAATAAACTCCTTGTAGAAATCTTTAGGTAACCTTTGTCTGCCATCAATGATTGCTGCAAAAGGGATAATACTTGTTCTACCCTTAACTATCTCAAAATCTTTCCCATATCTTATGGCCAGACGCCTGTCTCCATTCCAAACACCAAAAAGATGATGTGCAATTAAGCCAATTGAAGCTGCAACAGTCACAGAATTTCCAATCCAAACTGTATGAGCAAGACACCACATAACCTGCCCAACCATCTTAAGAACAAAACAAATCCTTCATTCAGAGTGAGGCCAAGCGCAAGAAATATTGTGTGTGAAATGAAGTATCAAATGATGTCAACTTTTTAATTACTCCAATGCTTGCACCTCCAATGCAACCTTCTTCTTCTTTTTTTAATAGAAACTTTATGAAATGCCATTACTATTTGTCCAAGTTATCAAGATCACCAAAATCGTACAGATCCCAAATTCATCAGTGTCTCATAATTTTTATCTTCATATATGTAATTGTTAGGATTTATACCTGTGGATGCCTGGTTATTCTTATAATGCCAGTTTCCCATAGATGTAGTTTAGGCTTGTCAACTGCTGCAACCTCTAAAAGATTAAAGGTTGAAGGATACAGGAACAAGAAGGAGATGAAGTTAGAAAGCCACACAAATTCATGAACCCCAGAAACATTCTGGAGCTGCCAGAGTTGAAGTCCATCATATCTGTGATTAATAAAATACACCTGTATCATAAAGCCAAATATGGATCAGCAAGTTAGTATGAATCAACTTCCATTGTCATAATGAAAGGCTAGGGGTCCAAAACAAACAAAGCAATCACATCATTGTATAGGAGAAGAGATATAGGAATAAGTTATTGTAGAAATAGAATCAATTCTGCAGCTTAGGAAAAATGTGTAGGAACTCACAATGGTGGTGACAACCAAAGGTAGTGATATCCCTGCAAAAAGAACTCGGTAAGCTCTTTCTCCAATGAGTTTCTCACCGGTGTCACGGAAGCTGGCCAAGCCACTATGGACACTCGCAAATATGAGAATCAGGACTAATACTACCACCTGCAGAGAGCAACATGTCAAGTCAGTTATTAGAATCTTAAACATTGCAGCTTTCAAAATGGTAGTGATCATGGATCAAAAGACAAGTAGACAACTAAGAAACAAATATTACTTAAAGGAAAAACAATATCTGCATGCGAACTGTATTAGACGTTTTATAATGAACACCTTCAAGATGATCTCAACCCCCAGCGTTAAAAACCAAAGTTTATGCTTTACAATAAGACATGGCCCCAGGTTTTAGTTCAGCAGGTTACTGGAAAAATTGTTGGTGAAAGAGTGAACCTATGTGGTTTCCCCTTGACTATGATTAGTCTTGTCAAGCTTGTATTCAATAATTTAAGCAAAAATTACCATTTACCATTCTAAAATGTTCTAGATCTTTTGGGAAGTAACAGTCATGAGAAGTTCATTTCCTCTCACAAACACTACATGCTTTTTCTTTCTTCCATGGCATTTTTTTCAATTATCACCTTTACAACTTTTGTTGTGGATAAACAGAAATTACCAAACAACATATCCTGAAATATTAAACGCAAAGTTTTCAATAATTTAATTTCTGATGCGCCCCATTCTTTCAAGCCCCAAATTCTGTTCCGTGTTCCCTAGGTAGGTGGTTTTTGCAAATTTCTCTCGCTTCTTTTTTCCCCCTTCTTTTTCACAATTCCATTATTATGCAAGCTATTTCAGAACAGAATGAGCAGGTTATACAAAAAAATTATTAACCACCCTTCTTCACATATGCCTATAGTCCCCTGAAATTAATGCCTTTCTACGTTCATCCATGTCAAAGAAATACATAAAATGCATAAAAAAAACAACAAACTAGCGTTATTTATTTAATATAATTTCCATGAACACACGCTAACCCCATTCTCAACCTAACCACTCAACTCAACGCAATTTTTTTTTTTTTTTCATCAGTTTCAAATGCCAACCAGGTAAGATAAACAGTTTTAGAATCCACCCAATTTTTTCTGATGTAGAACAAACAGTGAAAAGAAAAAGAAAAAAAAAAAGAAAAGGAATCACCTCGTGACTATCTGAAATCCCTGAAACGGCATCAACAAAAGCCTTACCGAAGCCAGTTGAAGCATCAATCCAAGCCACGTTAAGACCAAACAGCACCACTCCCAAGATTGCAGTGAAGTAAACCCAGGAAGATATTTTCTGGTGTTGAAGATCAAACGCCGCAGAGTCCTCGCCCACCAAGCTGGAATCTCTGGTGTCAGCATCACCAGCAGAAGAAGCACGTGCAAAGAGTTTCGGAGAAAACAAGAGGAGTGGCTTTGAAGGGAACAAGGAGAAGCAGGGGCAACTCTGTTTTCGTTTGGAGAACGAAGAAGACGGCAGATAGAGGGGTCGTCGATGATCATGATAACGTGTTCTCTGGGAAGAACTGTGTTGGGGTACGGAAGAGATGGAGCTCGACAACACAAGCAGTGAAGCCATGTTCGGACTTTAGATTTCAGAGAGATGGAAAGTGAGTCCAAGAAATACACTTACCCAACTCATATAAATATATTTATGTAGTGTGTGTGCGCGTAGCAAGTGCTGAAGGAGAGCATCTGGAGAAGGTTATGCTTGGGGGTTGGAGTTTTGGACTATAATGGAATGGTGATGGAAACGTGTAAAAGGGAATAGTTTGTCCTGTTATGCGAATGACTGTGCTCATCATGTTTGTGTTGGGGCTACACGTGGAATCAACTATCAAAGACATATTCATAGGTTGCGATTCATTGTTTTTTTAGTTATTAAATTCTAATTATCTCTTTTGAAATGAACTATGCTTCATGTATTTTTATAAGTATCGATTCTTTCAGATTAAAAGATTAATTCAAAACTCTTAAATATTATGAGATTAATTCAAAATATAGAACGAGTCAATAATAAAAATATTTAAATTCTTTTTAAAGATGGCATGTGAGGTTTCAATTCATATATACAGAGGAAGAGACAATGTAAATAGATTATTACAACGGAGTCAAGAGTGGTCGTTGAGTCACCAGATAATTTTTACAGCTGTTTGATAACTAATGTAAAAAACTATAAATTTTGTAGTATTCATGAATACAATGGCTCAAAACTTATTATAGTGTCCTCTATATCTTTAGCATTATTTTGCATGCAATTAATTTGTGGGAAAATGAAGTATAGAAAAATACTTTTTTAATATGATTTTTTTACTTATTTATATATTAATTCTTATTTTAAATTATTAAAAAGTAAAAATAACAATTATATCATCATCAAATAAATCTTTATAAAACTTAATAAGTTTTAAATTAGTTGTTAATATTGATAGGTAATATGTGGTGGCGGCAAGTAGAGGGCAATTGGTTGAAGTGATACTGGTGGTTATGGGGGCTAGTGGCGATGGGTGGTGGTGACGACGTCGAGGATTACCGGTGACAATTGTGGTTACTAAATGATAGTTTTGATGACAATGATCGTTGAGGTGGCGATAGTTGCTAATGGTGGGTGATAGTGATGGCCAGTGGCAATGGTGGCAGCATCGACAATGAGTAGTAGAGTTGTCCGCGTCAACTGACTGATGGGAAAGGGTTGACCCTCACATACATCGTAAGAAAATAATAGCATAGAACTATATTTGGTATGGGAGGAATGTGACAATTGTTATCTTAATCTATTCATTCCTAATCTGAGTCCCCATTTGGAATAGTTTATCTTATTGCGGAAGGGATGAAATGAACTAACAAGATAAGTTTATTATAACTTCTTGTCTCACCAAACAATGAATAAGAGCGAGATATGATAATTATATCCTATTATAATGACCCTAATTGGTAAATCTTAATTAGAGATTTAATTTAAGGATTTAAATGCCATAATTAGATTCAGAGCGTGATTTCGAGTATTTTGACTGTAATTATGACTAGGTTATGAACAATGCGTTCTGCCGGATGATCTGCATTCTTGTGAATTAACCGGTAGAGTTAAAAAGAGTAAAATGATTTTAGAGACATAATTTGACAATTCTGACGCCAAATATGGGTTCAGAACGAAAAATTGTATAGTCTGGCACTTTCCGTGAAAATCTCGTGAATAGTATTTCTACCGGGTATTTTGTACTGCTGTTTAAGCAACCGGTAGAGTCCAGAAACAAATAATTGATGAAATAAGAATAAGAAAGTCCAATATATGCCAAGCAAGTCAAAATAGGCCCAAGAATGGTAAGTTTATAAGTTTTAAGCTTCGTAAGCAAAATATGTACAGTTAGTGATTCACAGTGCATTTCGTCAAAAACGGTGTAGAAACCATACTGTGAATTAGGAATACTGTTCCTTAAGAAATAAAAATTAATGTAAATGACTTTACAAAAAAAAAATATGTCCGCAGCTTTAAGTTAGTTCCGGGTCAGTTTAAGTGAAAATACGCGATAGAAAAACAACCAGTTGGAAAGCCACATGTGCTTAAAAGACCATGTCCCTTAAAAAGTCACTATTCACATCAGCTTCTCTCTCTTCTCTTCCCTAAAAAACCTGAGCTGCTCATGGAGAAAAGGGAGGTTAGGGTTTGATATTGTTTCCTTTGATTCTCTTTCAATCTTCAACCAAATCACAAAGTTCACTACATGAAATTGATAGTAAACCACCTAATGAATCCATTCCAACCATCAATTTGAGCTATAGTTGCTTGTGTGAGGAGTTCTTCCTTCCCCCATTTTCGTGTCACTATTCATCAAAGAGGAGAAATTGCATTTTTGAAGGAGCTTTGCTTGTAGTTGGTTCTCTAGGCTTTATACAAGTGGTGGGAGGTAATAAACCTCTATTTCCATGATTTTATTTTGATGAATTAAGTTATGATAATTATGAGCATGTGTTGGGTGGGAAATAATTGATTTTAGAATTTGAAATGGATGATGGTTTGTTGTTGTTTAAGAAATTATAGTGTAAAGTAAGCATCAACATGTAATTAAAAGTTGAAAAGCCCTATTGCACCTTCTCCCTAGGTTCCGGCCATGAAGGGTTAAATAGGGTTCATTGTGCAAAATTTTACTCTATGTATTGGGATGGTGTGATGTGTTGGATAAAGCATAAACTTGGTGAATTAGTGAGAAGGCCAAAGTGGAAAAAAATCCTATGTGTTATGTCCCTATATTTTGGCCATAGTGTGTTTGTGAAGGACTTGATGCTCCAAAATTTTATTGGAACCTTTTGGATACATATATGTATGTTTAAGTTGCTAATTAAGTGAAGAAAATGAGAGGAAAAAGAAAAAAACACTTTGCCTACTCCTTTGGAGAGTTCGACCTATAGGGTGGTTTATGGATAAAATTAGTTGCATGTTATTTAATAAAATGCATAATTTTCCAATGTATGTAATGGATGAGTTTAAGAAAGAATATGACTCAAAAATTGTTGAAAAAAGGCTCGTTCTCCCTTTGGGTACCCACAACCTTAAGAAGAATAAGGGCATGAATTATGTTGAAAATTCTCAAGTGGATACTTAGTTAACTTAGGGAATGTTAACGATTATGAAATGGTAAAATTAAAGGAAAAGACAAAGTAGTGGTCGTGACTTGTGAATTGGCATAAGATTGGCATAATGTGAGGAAACGAAAATGAACAATAAGATGTATGCCTTGTGTAAATTTCACGGCAATTGTAACATTTTATTGATTGTTGTTTTGAATCCTTCTCTAGGTGTGCCTAGGGATTGAGAGGGTTTGAACTTCCATTGGAGCTATATAAGTAACTTGCGTGACAAGTAAGCGGATTAGAAAAGCTTCAAGAGGTAAGTTCTATGCTTAAGGAGTCTTTTCCTGCTTGAGTGCTCCACCATGGTTAGTGAACTATGGTTGGATTGTATGACTATTGTTTTGATACTTTGTATAGATGCATTCATATAGAGTTATTTGATAACATGAGATGACTGCTTCTGATATGATTTCTGTATTGATGTGTGGTACACTGATGTCTTCTTGGGGTTTTCCCTGAGATTGATGATGTACACCTCTGACATGTTCTGGTTCCGCTTAGGGTCCTTCCTTGGGAACACGTGCGTTGATTTTCCATGGGATTGACGGCGCACGCCTCTGATATAATATGGATATATGTTTTGTTCTGTTATGATATCTGTTATATGTGCATTGTATACTCTGTATCTGACTTTCATGCAGGAGTGAGTCAGGGGTATGGAGAATTCTCGATAAACCTGGAGCTTATTGAGATTTGTTATCTCACCCCTCTTTGGGGACATATTTTTAGGTGCCCAGATTCTCGGTGAGTCCTCACTAGGCAGGGACGCGACCCGTGGTTGAGGCGTTGGGACAGATCAGTTTTTGAGTAGTTGTAGGCTACTAACCTTTTGGAGTGCATTTATGTTATTTAGTATTTTCCGCATTTGATGGATCATGATGTTGGATCCTTTATTTTGTATATGGCCTGTATATGTTTTGTACATGTCTGTCAGTTTGATGCATGTACATTTGTGTATTCAGGCATGTTGATATGACTATGTAGTACTCAGTTATGTTTACGTATTGGATTGCATGCTGTTAGACTAGTGGCACGAAGCCAAGCTATGTATGCGCCCATGGATGAGCATATGACTATATTTGGTTGTGTGGTACTTCTGAATTAATATGCTGTATAAACTGTCTATCAGGAACTCTTGAGAGTGAGATTGGAAAATCCCCGTTGTCCGATTTACAGAGGTTACTCTGTCCGATTTTTGTTTTTGCCGAATAAGAATTAAACTAGAAAAAGAAAAAGTTAGCCCGTATTTTCGTAAGTTAAGTCTTCCGCGGTTTCTGTTTGTATCATATGCATGTTAATCGAACCGGCTCGAGACGAGGATGTTACCCCTATCATCTCTATCCTAATCTTCAAACACGCCCTTAATGAATTTGACATTAATTTATAGACTTAGAACATTTACTATTGTCAAGTGGCAAAATCGGTTGGTCCACCCCGGCCCGTAAAAATTGAGGCGAGACGGATTAGCCCGCCATTAAATATGAGTTGAAAAATTAACCCACTCCGTTTTATTGTGGGTCAACCCACCAACCAGCCAATTAAAAAAAAATAATTAAAATTCAAAAATAAATTATATTTTATGAATTTTTCTAATATTATTTTATTTTGTTTCACATTTTTCTTAATTTTTTTCAATCTCAATCTCAAATGTATACTAATATTCAGTTAAACATTCTTTAGGAACTCATTTGTCTTCGTATATAGATAACATTTACCATAAATAAAATTTTTATTCTTTATTTTTCTAGGGAGTACTAAGATAAAAAGAATTGGATATCACAAAAATTTAATGACAAATGAAATATTACTTAATTGTAAAAAAAAAAAATTATAACCCGACGGGTTAAATCTGTTTTGACCTACTTTTAGGCTGAGCGGGTTAAAGTTGGTTGATGGATTAAAAATCTCAACCCACCCCATTTTTTGGAGAGTTGATTCGGGTAAACCCATATTGCCACCTCTAATTGTCATATTACACAATGTAAATGATGTTGTTGTAGTTCAATTATTAGATCCCACTAATACCCATATTTCATTAATTAATGTAAGATAAAATGATAATCCAATCCTTACATCGCATTAAGTGTTCAACATCTAAACCGCCTAAAATCTTCATCCCATTTCCAAACAAGGTATGGCAATACCAATCACCAGGTCCAGCTTGTTAGATTCATCATATCCATTACACCACCTATATAATATAATGCAGTTGAACTCTAAGAAATAAATGTTGTGTTTCCCACCTTGTTTAGTTCGATGATAAGAAAGCCAAATTATCTAACAGTTTATTTAGTTTTTGAAAAATTACTGTAGGACTTAATTTGTGATAAATTATAATGAAGAGAATGCAACACAATTGTCATGAAATCGTAAAGATCGAATATACAAGATAAAATATTATATTTCATGTAATGGTTGGATGCAGTGGCGGAGCCAGCCTCCAACCGGAGCTCGGGCCAAAAAATTACATGTGTATTTATTTTTCTACTTGAGCAAGAAGCATGAAAAAGAATTATAATTTTATTAAATATTTTTAAATTTTATTGAATATATTTTAGGGAAAACTTCAAAAATAAAATCCTATTAGTTTTTTTAATTATCACTTACCCCTCACAAATTTTTTGAATCATTTCCATCCTTATTTAGATTTTTTTTATCACTTACCCTCTGACTTAAAGTTTTTTTTATCATTTACCCCCCTAAGTTAGGGGGTAAATGATAAAAACACTTTAAATTAGGGGGATAAATGATTCAAAATTTTGGAGAGAGGGTAAATGATTATGAAAAAAGTTATAAGGGTTTTTTTTTAAGTTTCTCCTATATTTTAATTTTTTTTATATAAATGGAAATGGAACACATATGTAACACCCCAAATTTTAAAAATTTATAATAGCATAAATAAATTCAATAATTTTATAAATAACAGCGGAAGTTCAAAATAATCAAATTTGGGATGTGTTACCGCTGCACTTGTATAGGGACAAATGCAAGGCTATCTCTATTACATTCAAATAAAACCAAAGACTAAAGTTTAAATAAAGGAAATATGTCTTATGCATTTATTTAAATCTCATAAAATTTCTAAACTTAGAAACTAGCTAGAAATATCCGAGTCGTGATCCTCACTACCCACAGCTAGCCCCATCCTTTGCAACATGCTTTACTGAAAATCTGCTCCCCCGCAGCCGCAGGATTATTGCAGTCAAACAAACACAAAAGTCAGCAAAGCTGGTAATCCCAATCAAAATACGATTAATGTAATTAATAACAAATTAAATCAAATATCAAAGAGTGTTCAAATCAATTCCACATTAATCAAATCAAATATCAATATAATAATCAAAATTCCATTATATAATATTTATCTTTATTAAGTTCATTTGATGTAATTGGTAATTATCAACTAACATATTTAGCACAACATTAGTCATAATATGATAATATTCACAACTCAATGACATTCTTCATAATCAAATCAAATAACAAATTTCATTATTAATAATGTTTAAGTTCATTATATTTAGTGGGAAGAGAACCATGGGAGACCCGGAAAACCCTGTCAGTCTACCCCGTGACCCGAGAAATAACCACTGTTACCAGCCACGTATAATCAAAATTGGCCATAATCAATTCACATCTTCCTAGTGTGCACACCTCTTCCCAAAGTTGCTACTAGTACCCGGGAAAAAACTACTATTACTAGGTACCACTTTGCGAAGAACGGAAACATCATTGTCACATCAAATAATTATCAAAGGCATAAAGCCCAAAGGTTGTGTTCATCACTTTGGGAGGTATCATCCCAAAAGCTATCCTCCCACTATTATTTATTACAATCACACACAATCAATTCAATCTTGTCACGATTCTCATAATTGTCAAATAATTTTCATGTTTTCCACATCAATTTAATCAAGAGTATAATTTCCAAATTCAATCTTTTAATAATATCATAATTTCCAAATCTGTTATCTAACAATATCATAATTTTCAAATCCATTATCCAATAATATCATAATTTTCATATTTAACATCTACCAGAGCAAAACCCAAATCCAATCATCATATCATAATTTTCCAAATCAAAATTCAAAGGGTAAAACCCAAATCCAATCATCATATCATAATTTTTCCAAATCATAATTCAAATATTCACATCTATTAGAGTAAAGCCAAAATCTAATAATTAATCCAATTAATTTCTAGAGGTTAAAATAATTTAATTTAAATACCTTAAGGGTTACATATAATATATGAAAACATCCTAAAATTTCCTAAGGATTGAGATTACATATATCAAACATATAACTACCTGAATAATAGGACACCCAATAAAATTTTATACACAACAAATCCTCAACCACCTAGAGATTAGGATTACATATATCAAAATTCATATCAATATAACATATGACTCTCTAGGGATTAGGATTACCTGGTCTCCTTGTTTGGTGACTTCTACAATTTGGGGAAGAGAAGCGGTTGGTAACCAAAGAAAGATAATAATAAAAATAAAATTTGAAGTGAGGAGAGAGAGAGTGTAAAGGAGAAAAAGAGTAGTGAAGAATTATTGAGGATTCAGAGTGAATTGGTTTGGTTAGGTTAGGCCTCTATTTATAGTTAAAGTTTTGGGCTCAGATATGGGTCTTGTGCAATTATTTCCTTATTCCTTACTGATGTATCTGGCTCAGATATTGGCTTCATACACTATTTTCTTATTAATTTCTTATGGCTCAGATTACAGCTAACTTATTTGCTAACTCAAGGCTGTTGACTCATCATATCTAATCAAATTACTAATCAACATTACCAATCAAACATTACCAATCAATCATTACCAATAGAACATTATTAATCAATCATTATCAATCAAACATTATCAATCAAACATTAATGCTTAAATCATCAATATATATATATATATATATATATATATATACATATTAATATTAATTAATTACAATTTATCATCAATATATATATATATATATATATATATATATACATATTAATATTAATTTATTATAAATAATCTAGAGTATTACAAAGTATCAAAATTATTTTCCAATAGCACTCATATGACACAAAATAATTTTATCAATTAATATTATACTTTGTTATCTATCACCATAAGATTTATATATATATTATTACTACTAATTTATAGTTTATTATTATTATTATTATTATTATTTTATTAATAAAAATAGGGGGTATTATAACATAACTTAATACAACTTACCCAAATCTCTCACTAAATATTTTTTTTTTATAGGGCCAAATTATAAATTTTAGCCCGGGCCAGATTATAATTTTAGACTGGGCCAAATTATAATTAATTATATAATTATACATGATAAGTACAATTTGTTAAAATTTAGCCCGGGCCGAGGCCACACCCAAGTACAACGTGGCTCCGCCACTGGTTGGATGAGATGAATCCTGGTCATGCATTGGATTAAAGAAAATTTAAAATTTTTATTTTTAATCCAAATAGATTTTTAAGATTTGAATTTTTATTTGAAAAAGAAAAAGTTAATTTGAGATTAATTTTCTTTTTCAAATATTTGATTTTATCCATTTTTGAAAAGTTAATTTGAAGATTTTTATTTTATTTCTAAAAGAATATTTTGAAAAGTTTTCTTAAAAATCATAATAATCTTTAGATTTTTTCTTACGATTTAATTTTGAGAAAAAGTCTATAAATATGAGTTTTTCTCCATGTTGGTAGTGAGTTTTGAAGAGAAAAAGGTTTTGGTGAACTTTCAAGAGAAAAGAGCATGTTGAGCATATTATGAGTATTTCTTTTTAAGGCGCAATCAAACTAATTTGATAATAAGGTATGAGCGAATTTATTGAGTTAAGGTAATTAATTTTAATTGAATTTTTTTATTGAAAAAGGTCGTGACTTAGTCTTTGTTCAAAATAACTATTTTATCGCAGTTGTGTTTTTAAATTAATTTTTTTTCAATAAACTCAATTCTCCTCTTCTTGAGTTCATCTATGCACTTAGAACTCACTCGTTGCATCCGACACTTATCTCTTAAAGAGGTACCAATTCTTCGTATCAACATCGTTAATCTGATACATAAAGTAACCGTCAACCTCGTTACTGTTAGATACATGAACTGATCATCACACCTTAAAAGAGATGCATAAGAACATTCTAGGTTTCAATATCTTTGTTAAATGACCTTCTCCACCATCAGTGGTTCCCTACCATATATATTCTAACCGTTTTTTGGTTACCATTTCATTTCCAGGTCCAAATTACCTGTGTGCTACTGTTGTTTTCTCTCAATTCAACTTTGAGCCATTCCATACATAAACACACACCTCTAAAGTTGTAACCTGTGAGGCTCAAATCCATTGGTAAGGGATATAGAAAACTATCATCCCAAGTTTAGAGAAGAGAGCTCTAAATTTGGCAGAAGTGGGAAGAGTTTTCAACCAAGTTACACACATTTGAAGGTTGACAATGTCTGCAGCTGTGGGATCTGTTTCAGCAAACAAGGATGTTCCTTTTAATGCTCAAATAGAAGAAGAGCTCAAAAACAAGGGAACCAACAAGGTTCATGGGGAACCAGACCAGCTCCCTCATAGTGATGGTGCCAACTACCATGATACTGAAGAAACTGAGCCAGAGGAAGAGGAAGACTCCAAGTTGGAATTGGATCTTGGCCCTCAGTATTCCCTCAAGGAACATCTTGAGAAAGATAAAGTAAGATTCTTTTTTCAAATGGTTCTTCATTGCTCTGATTTTCCAATTGTTCTTTGATGAAAGCTATTCAATAATCTTCTTTTGTATTTTAAAGGATGATGAAAGTTTGAGAAAATGGAAGGAGCAACTTCTAGCAAGTGTTGATATGTCTGCTGTTGGAGGTACTTAGCTTCCCTTCCAGTTTCTTCATTCTGGGACAATTATATAATAAATGATTATTTCACTGGGAATAATATAACATTAACTTGATTGGAACAGTGTATCTGTATTGAAAACTCTTGTTGAAAATGGTCCTCTTCTTCCAGTTTAATTGACTTTGTTTATTTGAAGCAGTACTGCATGTGCCATCATCTTTTTCCTTTTACAAGAGAACCCATTTTTCTTTCAAGCAATAAATGAAACTTAACATTTTCTAGCCTGCTTTTTCCCCCCACAGCTTTTTGGACATTTATAATAAACTAACCCTCTTGAATCACCTTGTTTTGGAGATGTAAATTTTCAATGAAACTGTTGGTCCCTACTCCCTTGTAAACAAAAGCCTAGCATTATTTTACATATTGTTTTAGCATATCTGTGTTATTAACTTTCATTATTAGCTTTTGGGAGTCCTGAAAAATCTGGAATCCCTTGTGTTGAAATCCAGAGAACAAAGAGCCAGAAGTGAAGATAGTGAGCCTCACCCTTATATCACCAGGCAGGCCAGACTTCATCCTACCAATTCCATTTGCTACAGATTCTAAGAAGAGTATCTTCACCCTTAAGGAAGGAAGCCAATACCGCTTGAAATTCTCCTTCACTGTCTCCAACAACATCGTCTCTGGCCTCAAATACACCAATGTTGTTTGGAAAACTGGAATTAGAGGTTAGACATAAACCTCTCTTTGTGTTTATTATATTAATTATAACAGCCATATTATGAATTGTCTCAGTTACATGGCTTTCATGAATTTATTGAAATAGTGGACAACACGAAAAAAATGCTGGGAACTTATAGCCCACAGCAGGAACCATATACATATGAATTGGAAGAAGAAACTACCCCTTCAGGCTTGTTTGCTAGGGGAACCTATTCAGCAAGAACCAAGGTAAGAAAATAAAATTACACAGAGATAGTTGATTCACTATTAGTTGTTATTCTTGTTTCTTTTACTTTATTTTATTTTTTGAGTTGGAAGAATTAAATAAATTTTCTTGCTTCAGTTTGTAGATGATGATCGCAAATGCTACTTGGATGCTAGTTACCACTTTGAAATTCAGAAGAATTGGCCTACACCCCACTGAGATTGAATCTTTAGTAAATTATTGGTGGATTTTTTCTCTTCTGTCATCTTGTGTCTTTCTGGGACAGATTGAAATCCAACTTTTTGTTTATTAAATCCAGTTATCGCAATTTTGCACATGCATGCAACAAGATTGTGTTGCCACCTTTTTGCTATATTGTATGGTTATTTTTTAGTTTTTTTAGTTTTTTTTTTTTTCATTCTAATAAGTAGAATTCACATAAAAGGAAATGCTCGGGACAATGGTACTCATTCCACCTAAGATGCCTCAAGGAGTTAATCGTAAATATATGTTTAAGAGTGTGAGGCATCAAGAGATGGAGTGGAAATGGGACCCATTTGGATAAAGAAATAAAAATCAACAAATATCCTCAACTACTGCTTGTGCTTTCTGAAGCAAATGGCCAAAAGGTCCATCAACTCTTTGGTGGTCCAAAAGTTTTTCTCATATGATGACCACATGCTGTATGCTAACTAACGGTTGAATTCAGAAAAACAAAAACAAAAAGCAGAATGTCCATTGAAATAATTCATCATGAAGATTAAAGACATGAACCAAAATTTTATTACAATGTAAATTATCATTTATAACATTTTGAAAGTGCCTTTGGGATTAAGTTTGATTTTATTAAACCTCTTAAAACAATTTGTCAAGCTCGGAATTGTACAAATTACATATGTCTTTAGTATAACTCTTGTTTAAAACCTATATTCTAACTCTACTCTCGTATAACATTCAAGTAGTTTTTATAATATTTTGTTTTCACGAAATCTAACTCCAGAACTAAATTAACCCAAAAAACATATCTGACTCCAAAGAGATATGTACCCCTCTGTTCTGAAATCAATTACTGCGCACATGGCATTTTATTGCCATGGTTTAGATTAGGACCTACTGTTATTTCATTGTGCTCGAGTTATTGTTCTTTAATATTTCAACAAATAATCTGACTTCTGTTAAAAAAAACTGCAAAGTGCAAACAGCCACCTTACCTTTTTTTTTTTTTTTTTTAACCGTTTTCACTTGTTTATGTTTATCTGTTTCTGGTAGATCACAACTTGGTCAATGGTCATTAGGGTACAAAGAACCATTCTCAGCGAAAACAACTACCAAATAACAATAGCAGTGGCTTAATAGAATTATGAAAGTTTGACTATTTTATCGTCAATTGAGTGCTGAAGGTCCCAAAAAGAAAGAGAACCGGTGTTTCCAGTCCCTTTTTTCGCTCATTCCCTATATAATATTCTTGTTAGGCATCAAATATTTGACCCAAGGCAATTAAAGGCATCCCGTCTAGCTTACTTCTTTTCCAAGTAAAGTAGCATCATTACTATAATAATGATCGAAACAATTGGAAACAACCCATGCATGAATTGCAGTTGGCAATTTATCAATATAGGGAATATTAGGAATAATTCCTAGGCATCTATTAGAATCACAACTTTACGTAAAACTGCACAATTATATCCAACTATGGAAAAAGTTTATGATGGTCAATTAGGGGCACGTGAAGCCACGTGCAATTGTATATAGTTGTGTATGGAGCATCACTAGGATTAGTCATCATATACTTCGATTCTTACTTTTTTTTCCTTCTATTTTTTTAAAAAATAAAAATTACATAATCAAAAACTAGCAGATAAGATATAATTAATAAGAGCCTGAAATCAAGGTTATATTTCAGTAAAGCATGTAATTGATACGGTCATCATTTCCTTCTTTTCACTGTATCATCTACCTCCTTAAATTGATTGCTAACGCATTGATTTTCAGTAGCAAATATCAAGTTAAGGATACGCAGAAACTGTCCTATCCATACAGACATAGTATTCTTGTACCCACAAACCCATAGTTACATGAAGTTGGTTTGACTTACATAGCAAGGTGCGGGTATAAATAGACCAAATCAATTATCTATGTTTTTCGTCTGGTGCAAGTACATGCAAACTTTTCTCAGTTGATTAAAGGAAAATCCAAGTTACCCATACATATAATATATATGGCATCAATTTACATCAATTTAAGAATAAAATCTCTTACACTTCTTATTAACTTATGATTCTTCATGCATCTAATGGTTCGAGTAAACTCTGTCATCTCTAATAAATTATAATTATTACCACAAGTAGAATTAACGGTTAATAATAAACATAAGAGTTTTTATTCTTACATTGATACTATTGGATTTATTTGGATTGGATCAGTTTTCATCAATCAAATCAAAAACCAATCCAATCCAATTAAAATATACCTTTTTTTTTTTTAATTTTTTGATTATCAATTTTTCGGTTCAGTTGACGTGATTTGAATCGGTTGATGAACACCCGTAATTGATAGACACACCCACACAGATATATACATACAATGACAGCAGGATCAATTTATATTGGTTTCAGTATTATACTCAATTTTAATCATTGATTCTACTTATGTGAATCCTTAGATACAAGCGAGATCAATGGCTAAGATTGAGTGTAAAACTTCTTATTCTTACATTGATATAATTTGATCATGCCAAACATATATATATATATATATATATATATATATATATATATATATATATGGTAAAATCATTTCTACAGTCATTTTACGTACAGCAGTGGCAGGTGTATGATTATGATTTCCTACATTTAATGTTTTTCCCTTTTGTCAAGTTGCTTGAGATAACTTTATCTCTCACTACTAAATCATAACCGTACAAAGATGGATCAATGGTGATAAAGGAAGAGAGAAAAATGGAATAACCATTCAAAATTGAATCAATCAATATAAGGAAATAAATAAATAAAATGATGTAATTTTTGAGTTGACGAAGATAAATATATCTCAAGTTGCTTGAGAAATATTTACTTTGATATATATATATATATATATATATATATATATATATATATATATATAAGGACAGGATCCTTTGATACCAAATCCTAATTGTTGATTGGCGTAAATCAACGCTTAAGATTTGATGTCAAATCTTTTAATTTGACACTGGTGTCAAATGATCATATCCCATATAAGGCCAGGATCCTTTGACACTGGTGTTAAACTTTGAAATTTGACACCAAATCCTAACCGTTTTCCAATAAATGATAATTGTTGATTGGCGAAAATTAACTATTAGAATTTGGTGTCAAATTTTAAAATTTGACACCAAATCTCAACCTTTAATTTCTGCCAATCAACGGTGATCATTTATTTGGAATTAATATTAATTACTAAGTTTGATTCACAATAAATGATAACTGTTGATTGGCGAAAATCAAAGATTGAGATTTGGTGTCAAATTTCAAATTTTGACGCCGGTGTCAATGGATCCTATCCCATATATATATATATATATATATATATATATATATATATATATATATATATATATATATATATATATATATATATATATATATAGGATCCATTGACACCGGCGTCAAAATTTAAAATTTGAAATTTGACACCAAATCCTAACCGTTGATTTTCGCCAATCAACGGTTATCATTTATTGGCAATTAATGATTAATTAATAAGTGTAATTCCCAATAAATGATAACCGTTGATTGGCGGAAATCAACGGTTAGGATTCGGTGTCAAATTTCAAAGTTTGACACCGAAGGATCCTGCCCATATATGGGGTATGATCATTTGACACTGATGTCAGATTTTAAGTTTGACACATCATTTGAAAGCCGTTAGATCAAAAATATCAAATGGTGTTACATGCTTACAAATCAGAGTCGTTGATATTTTTTGATCTAACGGCTCTCAGATGAGGTGTCAAACTTAAAATTTGACACCGGTGTCAAACTTAAAATTTGACACCGGTGTCAAATGATCCTACCCCATATATATATATATATATATATATATATATATATAGGAGCAGAATCAACTTACACCAGTGTAAGAGTAATAAGTCTTAACCCAATGGGTGCAGCTCAGTTGGTAACTTGGCGCTGAGTTAGTGGGGTTGGATATGTGTTCGATTCCCGCTGAATGCATTCTTGGGGAGGGGGCTGAACCTTTAGCCATCACTGTTCCCCCGCACTCCGGATTAGTCCCATAGCCGGCTCAAAGAGTCGAAGCTCGTGGGGATACCGGAGGGAGCCAACTCGTCTCAAAGAGATAATTAGGGTTGGGTAACTCCAAAAAAAAAGAGTAATAAGTCTTACACAAAATCTTAATTGTTGATTTTCGAATATCTAACAGTTGTAATTTATTAATAATTAATAATTATTAAATTACAACTGTTACATACACTAATATATATATGGGGAAAAAATTTCTGCAGTTAATGCATATAAGTTATCTGCATTTATTCTCAAAACGAAGTCGTTTTGGTATTGAAATCTTAAAAAATTATAAATATAAAAACTATTATAACCTTGAAATAAATTAAGGAGTGAATACCCTTTTTGATCCTCAGCAAATTTCATGACGCCGTTTTAGTCCCTAGCAAATAAAAAGGCCCATCGTGGTCCCTAAGAAATTCAAAATGAACCATTTAGTTGAAATCGTGGTCCCTCACAAATTCAAAAAAGACCCATATTAGTCCCTAAAAGGACTAAAATGGGTCCATTTTGAATTTCTTAGGGACCACGATGAGCCTTTTTATTTGCTAGGGACTAAAACGGACATAGTGAAATTTGCTGAGGACCAAAAAGAGTATTTACTCTAAATTAAAATTACAAAAATACATGATTTTCGTCCCAAAACGACGTCGTATTGGGCTTACTACAGATAACTTATCTGCAGTAACTGCAAAAAAAGCGAACCCTTAACAGAAAAATATTTCTGCAATTACTGCAGATAAGTTATCTGTATTTACTCTCAAAACAACGTAGTTTTGGTGTTGAAATATTAAAAAATCCCTGAAATAAATTAAAATTACAAAAATATCTTGATTTCTGTTCTAAAACGACCTCGTTTTGGGCTCAATACAGATAATTTATCTGTATTAACTACAGAAAAAACGAACTCATAGATTAATGCCTAATCTATAAAATAAAAAAATTAGTATGCATAATCATCAAGACAATAACACACTAGTCAAAAATTAAATTCATAAAATCTTGTTTTATCAAAAATTAAATGGCATGAGTATCCGAAACTTGCTCAAGAGTAGGTAATCATTTGGCGCGATTTATATTAGGGCCATACTGGACCTAGATTGATTTGCAACATTTTGGATTCAATTTGAGTTTTCCATCTTTTTCTAAACTTTTTCACAAGATAGTGACGATTGTTATCAATAAAATCCCAACACTAAAATGTATCCAAAATTAGCAGAATAGCCAAATTCTAATTTTCTATTGCCTGATGTCAACAGCCACTCATTTTGTATACTGTACAAAGTCTTTAGAAAGAATATATACATGTGATCTGTAGTTTCAAAGAAAAACAAAATTAAGCAACAAAACATGAAAACCAATGATATTACTCTGGATAGGTAGAGTAGAGGAGTAGCCTGAAATCACTAGTAATCTAACAAAGCAAACTTGACATGTAATCCAATCTTAGCACCCTCAGTGACAAGCTTAGCAGCTGTTACCAACCAATGGCCAGGAGCATCATGGGGGCCTCGCACAACCTCAGCTGTGTCCACATATTTAAGTAGTTTACCAGAGCGAACTGGCACAGGTGGACCCTCTGGATAAACGCCAGAGTTAAGTGCCGCTGGAGCCTGCTTCTTAGGACCAGTGTTACTGTGCTGTGTGAATGAAAATGTTGTGCTCAAATTTGTGAGGAAGGATGATTTTCTTGAAGCCTCTGGTGCACCAGCCCACTCTGACTTCCTGATACTGCAATAAGGTATATGAGTATAGAGAAGTCGCAGATGAAGCACATTCCTTGGCCAACTCCCTTTGCTAAGGAGTTGAGCACCGGTTACAATATAAACACCTCTTGAATTATTCAACCAGTTAGGATCATGCTTAACCACTGACGTGCACACATTTGAGAATCTCTTCCATCTGATTGGTTCCAAAAATTGGTCACTGGTTTCATTGTCATCAGATCCTCGCCACATAGATGGTATGCTCTGGGTTGAGGTGCCTGAAGAGAGGATCATTGTACTTGGGAGGCTTGAAAGATGTTGAACATGTAAAGCAAGTCTATCACATTTCCTGCCTTCCAAGTACAAGCGGAGGCCAACCACAGGCTTTTGTTCACTTACCACCTGGCATTTTGTTTAAAATACCATAGTTAACAAGGGGAAAATATAAGATTATAAGAATATAGGGTCGATAAGTCAGGATAGTTGCCAAGGCAAAGATGAGTGGAAAAAAATAAAGCAAGAGGGATAAATCCCTACAAAGCGATGCATACTATGAAGAAAACTGAAACAATAAACTAAGTACTTATATGAGCTTCTTGGCTCATAGATTTTAGGATCATGACATGTTCTGAAAAACCACTTCCCAAAATTATCAGAGGCAGCCAGAAGCTCACATAAAGGCCAGAAGCTCACATAAAGGCCAAAAGCACAAGATCCACTAAAAAAATATAAATCACCCAAACTTCAGACTTTCCATATATATATATATATATATATATATATATATATATATATATATATATATATATAGTCAAAGGCTTCATGCCACTAGGAGTTGTCAGCAACTCTTCAGACAGGGCACGTAGAGCTAAGTCCTTTTTAATGGTTTCACCTAGTGTTTTTCTTGGTCTTCTTATTGGGGCTTCTATTGGTCTTCTTCTCACATGACCAAACCACCTTAGGTGATATTCTACCATTTTTTCCCTGATAGGTGCTACACTTAGTTTCTCTCTAATGCACTCATTCTTGATCTTGTTTTGTATGTTCATTTATCTACCACAACATCCTCATCCCTGCCACACACAGCTATGCTCTTGATGGCTCTTTACTGACCAACAGTTACTCCTCATCCCTGCTCTTCTGCTTCTGGTTTTGTCTTCCTAATGTTGGGCATACGGATTGAATTTTGATGAATTGAAGGCCCACCAATGGTAGTGGCTGTATTGTTATTTTGGTGCTGATATATGTTGAAGGGTCATGTTCTAATGTACTGAGCACTTTCTTTTGAATCTGCTGGTAGATCCCAATGGGTATTTTAGAGGGGTTTCTTTGTTGCATATACAGAGAGATTGCATCTTTGCTCAATTGATTTGTTTTTTCTTGTTTATTTTGTGGTTTCTTATAGGAGGATATCTTATCCTCTGCTCTTGTATTTCTTTCTTAATTTTCTCCAATTAAATTTCTTATGAAACAAAAAAACTGTCTCTCTTAGAACCAGTTCTTTTATTTATTTTTAAATCTGAAAGCATCCCACTCTTTGTTAGCCCCTGATCTTGGGATTCTTCAAGACATATCTCACCAGATTCACATCCTAATCCTACCTGATACCATTTATTTCAGACTCCTACAGGTCCTCTTCTCTGACAATACATATGAAATAAGGAGTGACATGTAAGCCGAAGAAGGGTAACAGCTAAAGTATTGAATAAAAGAAATAGGCAGGATGGAAACAGTAGCTGGTTAAAGAATCCCCAAAAAGATATATAACCCAGCTAAATTTATCACAAACCAGAAGAAGTGACAGGAGAATATCCTGACACTAATTAAGAGATAATTTTGTCAAAGCAAATATTAAACTCAAAAATAAGAGTAAAGTCCAACACATGCAATACTTGCTGGCTCAAACAGGAGGTTTTGGTTAACAGTACCTGTGTAGAGCTGATATGGAGCTTCGGACCCATGAAACTAAATTGTAGGGAAGGGGAAGAAGTCTTTCTCCTCTGATGCCTGAGAGGCAGTTCGCAAAACATGGGCGCCCATTGCCTTGGAATTTGAAACTCCAAGAAGTATTGTAAATCTTCAGGAGAAGGCTTATCTGCAGAGAACAAGTGAATCAACGAAGTTTTCTGTACCTTAACGGTAAAGAAATTGAAGAATGGTACTATGCAAGAAATGCTGCCTCGGAAACTTCATGTATAGAAAAGTAAAGCATGACATGAATAATTTCAGAGCCCAAAACACAATAGTTTCTTGGGAAAGTCCAATTGACACCCTTCAACTTTACATGATGTGTAGTTTAGGCCTTAAACTTTAAAAACATGCAAGACTATCCTCAGACTTCCCAACATGTGCAAAATGTTCCTTGCGACGGATGTCTATCCAAAATTTGACGGAAATAGTCATTTGCTACCATGTGTTTTTTCAGGATTTTTATGGCCAAGTGATTGGCACATGACGATTTTCAACAAATTTAGGACAGACAACAGTCAAGAGTACCATTTTGCAAACATTGGGAAATCAAAGGACCATCTTGCATATTTATGTTTAAGGACTAAACTGCACATGTAAAGCTGAAGGGTGCGAATTAAATTCTTCCCTAGTTTTGGAGCTTATCTACATCATGGTAAAAATGTATAAATAGTAATAGACATAAACTGAATATGGATAAATGTAGTAGATTACAGTATCATTGTTCAATCTGATAAGAACGTACAACGTAAATACAAATTCATTGCATGACTAAGATAGCCACTTCCAGGAATTCCTGTCAGAAGTGAGGAAATAGGAACAAACTTGAAGAGGATCGCTTCAGGATTAGAAGGCACTGTCTGGAGCCAATTTGAGTGACTTGGCTTGAACATATCTCCTCCTCTTTTTGAGCAAATAATAGTGAGGCCCTGCTCCAAGATAAAGCAACATATTCACAGCCTAGAAATTTAATTTATTTCAAATGGTAAAATATTTTCCTTTCAGGGCTTACATCCTTGCTTGATGTTTCTGAAATACTGGTGAACTGCATTGTGTTTGATTGCATCACACGATTAAAGACATCAGGGACCTACATGAATAGAGATTACATCAACAGAAAAGCAACAAATATGCTAAAGTTACTTAAGATAAATAACTATACCTTCTGTTTTCCATCTGCTGTCTTCCTCTGTAATAAAGAAGGGCTTCTTACATCTGAAAACAAAAAATCTCCAAGGTCCTCTAAATGTTTTCTAAGATCACCAGGAGGAATCTTTGAAGAATGTTTTTGTTTGACACAGATTACATCTTGACCTCCAACAGCCATACCTACTATTATGTGTGTACCATATGTCTGGATGAACCTGCCTAACAAAATTGATCAGCATCATATACTTAACAACTTATCAACCCAAAATTATGCACCATTCAAGCTGTCAACATCAGTTACTCTTCCAGACTGTTTCACTTATAAAATATGAACACATCAATTAACATCAAGTGAAACGGACACTATCAAGGAGACAAGGACTCTGTCTAAAAGGGAATCTGAGCCTCATGCTGGAAGTATGAAGATATTACATTCTTTTATCAATTGGTTCTTCATTACCAAACATACAAAATTTTGTAGAGTCGGTCAAAATGATGAGAGCAAGAAAATCAACAAGAAATCGAATTTATTAAATTCATTCTCATTAGAAGTTATAGAGGGCGAGCCTTGGGGCAGGTAATGTTGCTCCTTGTGACCGGAAGGTCATGGGTTTGAGTATGGAAACAGTCTCTTTGCAAAAATATAAGAGTAAGGCAGTGTACAATTGATCTTCATCCCTACCCTCGCAAATCTGGGAGGCTTGTGCAATGGGATTTGCCCTTTTATTCTCATGAGAAGTTATAGAAAGTGAAAATAAGTTATTTCTACGCCAGGAAAACAAAGATCCTATCACCTTTCTACTTATGAAAGATTGTTGTGGCGTAGTGATTACCTAGACAATGAAGCCGGATCCCACTGAGCTGGAACAGACTTCTTTACTTCCTCTTCCAGTACTAGTGGAGAAGCTGTTAGGTGCAAATAGTAGAGTGAAATGAAATACCCATCAAAAGCAAGATATTTGGTGTCAGCAGCATCACGAAACCAATCACCACTTAAATCAAAAAGAGCATTAAAATAGCCAGAAGGAATTTTCCCTTGTACTGCTGATTTCTGATTAAGCAACTCAGACATCTGCAAGGAAAAACTATGCATACATAAATCTTAATTCAACAGTGATAGCGATTATCCTACTAACTCATTTGCTTCTTCTTATAACAGGAAACAGGGAAGAAGAAGAAGAAGAAGAAGAAGAAGAAAAGGGACCTGGTTGAATTCAAGCACATCGGATTTAAAGCGTATTCGATCCCCTTTATCACAGCGTATATTCTCAGAAACCCCTGTAATGATAGTTCCTGCTGAACCAGGAATCAAAATATCTCTCTTGTTTTCTTCATCAAGCACCAACAACCTCTTACTACTCTTACCTCCACCAATGCCCTTTGCAAACCTCAAACGAAAATCGCTGGCCAAATCGAACCCTTTACCCAGACACTCCAATGCCACCATCTCAATCGCCTCCTCCCCCGCCATTTCCAAAATAAAAAACCAGGGATTCCCAAAAATAAGAAAAACCCAGAAATCAGAACAAAAACCAGAGAGAGAGAGAGAGAGAGGTGAGGTTAGGATGCAATAGGGCCTACTCTAGTTCACTAACCAAATGGGTTCCATGTGGGTTGGTGTGAGTCTAGCATGATTTTAGTGCAAAAGGACAAAGAAAGGTGTTGGCTTTGGCGTTTTTGAGAAAATGGGTATTATTAGCTACTGATGGGTGATGCAGAATTCAAATGAAGGAGAAAATGGGATCAGTGAATGCTACGTAACGTTAAGGTAAATGAGGGAAGGTAGGAAGTACTTCTGTTTGGTTTGGAGGAAAATAAGAGAAGAGAGGAATCAGCCACAAGGGGTTGTGTGTAATTTGTGTTTGACGGTGTTAGAATTAGTAGTGGAGCTGTGAAAATGGGAATGGGAAGAGAATAATATCTATCTATCTATCAATCAACGTTTGAAAAATAATGACTGTATGCCAACTCAACTTTGGCATGTGTTGCCTTTACTCTTCTCTCTCTCTCTCTATCTCTCTCGCGTTGGACTTTACCTACTTCTGTTTTACCAGGTCATACTTCTCGTCCATAATCGCAACAAGATGCTGCACAGTGAAAAGGGGCCCATATGATGACATCTCTTGATCTGTCTAGTTCCTTCACGGATGAGTTTGTGGAAAATAAAATAAGATAAAAAGAAGTTGTCAGATATAATTGGTAATAAAGTCTAACGTTTGACATAGAAGATACACGGAAGTATGTTCGACCATTCTTTCATTTTCTTGTTCTTTTCTTCTTTTCTTCCCTTTTTCCTCTCCTCAATCAATGGGTGCCCTTAGATACATATCATTTTCACTTGGAAGAAGCGTTTCACAAAGAAACAAAATGCTTCGGCTCTAGAAACTCGACACAATTTGCACTTGGGGCAAGAATATCTTTATGGAACATTTGGTATACGAGATATTTTTTTGTCAGGAAAAAATAATTTTCAAAAATACGGTAGAATTTTTTTTTTCTCGAGTAAGTTATGAACAAGTATTTGGTATGCTAATTTTTTTTTTCAAAAAAGTTTGGTTAATTTTACTGATACTATGTTTAGTTGATTGTAAAACACTGATAGAAATTTGAACTGAAGTGACAAAATTATCTATTTTTACATATCTACTTATATATTATATAAAAGTATTTTTGTCTCAAAATGTGAAAATGTGTTTTCCAGTTGATAGGAAAAAAATGATACCATGGTTGGATGGGGTTATTTTTTCCCATGTATAATTAAAAATGGGAATGATGAAAAAAAAGTATCCAACGATTTTTTTATTTTTACTCATATTAAATATGATAAAAAAAAGTTCTCCACCCCACTTTCCCGGCATTTTAACCAAAAAAACTTATACTAATCACCTCCTTAAATGTAAGGTAGAACTTTGTTTTTTTAATAAGAGATAAGATATTGCAACTATTTTTTTTCATACATATTCTATCAACTTATCTTCAACCTCATTAGATAAGAATCTCAACTAATTTTTATATTTTCTCTCTTCTCTTAAGATTTTGATCTAACAGTATTGAAAATAAATAGATAGAGTAGGTGTAAAAAAAAGATAGACATAATATTCTATCTCTTATAATAAATACTTAAAAACTAATAAAATATAATTAATAAAAAATAAATAACTAACCACTCATCTTGAATATTGATATTCTTAAAAAAATTAAAAAATATAGTAGTTCTCATATAATGAGAACATAAGATTTTTGCATCAGACTTTTTTCTCTTGTATATTCCCTTTAAGGCTTGCAACATGTTATGACCGAAGAATTATTGGATATAACTCATACTTCGCATTCAGATAGAGATCCTTGTCAACAGAGTTAGTAGAAAGCCAACCGGTACTGTTGTAGGCCTCTGACTCATTGTATTTATCATTTTCTTAGTAGTTTGAGCTTAAGCCTATGAATAGTTGTTGCTAGGATTTTTTAAATCCTATTTATATTATCTTGTAAACTAAGTGACTTGTAACGAGTGTCAGTTAGGCGAATATAGTATAAACAAGCTGGATGGATGTAACCTACATTGGGTGAACTAGGGTAAATCGCCGTGTTTAACTTCTCTTCCTTTTTTCTTTTCTGTTTTTCGATTTGTGTGTGCCGAATTCCAACATTTGGTATTAGAGCATTGGTTTTATGACCGGGGTTCCTGTGACAACAGATTGGGGTTTCATGATTTGGGGTTTTTCTTAGCGTAGAAAAAATTACGAAATTGATCTGGAAAGGATGTCGACTGGACAATCACGGATCAAGGTTGAAAAGTTCGGAGGAAAGGGGTTCGAGTCATGGAAGCTGGAGATGGAGGCTTTGCTCGTTGATAGGGATGTGTGGTACGTGATCGAAGATGAAAAGCCATCGGTACTAACGAAAATTGACGGTGATGGAACGTCAGAGAAATGCGAGTCGAAGGAGTTGAAGGCATGGATCATAGACGATCGAAAGACGCAAAGCTTGATCTGGTTATGCCTGGCAGACAAAGTTCTCGTGAACGTAACTTCTGAGAAGACTGCGAAGGATCTTTAGACGAGACTGTAAGGTCCCTCTCAAAGCAAGTCACTCGTGAACAAGTTGTTCTTCCGAAGGAGGCTGTATAATTTGCGGATGAGAGAATGTGATTCTTTTGCTGCTCATTTAAATGAATTTAATACTATTTGTGCGCAACTTTTGTTTATAGATATCAACCTAGATGAGGAAGACAAAGCTTGCACTTTACTGTATTCACTACCTAACTCTTGGGAGCACATCATTGTTTCAATCAGTACTGGTGTTAATAAACTATCGTTCGAGACAGTTGTTGCTACCTTGTTGTCTGAGGAGATGGGAAAGGTAGGTTCTGAAGGTACTAGTAATGAGGCTCTGATTGTTAGAGGGAGGAGTAGTGACAGATCAAAATCTGGTCACAGAGAGAAGATAAAAGACAAGGTTGTATTGTTGGAGAAAGTTGACACAAAGGTGAATAATGCTTATTTTATGACCAAGGCAATGATTTCAAAGAAGTTTGAATGATGTATAACTGTATTGGGACTGAAGAAGTATGCAAAGTATTCACCAAGAGGGAGAAATATTGAGTATGACTCATACTTCACATTCAGATGGAGATCCTTGTTGGCGGGGTCAGCAGAAAGCCAACTAGGGTCCCGTAGAGCCCTGAACTGTTGTGGGCCTCTGACTCATTGCTGACTTATTGTTGAATCATTGTATTTATCATTTTTTTATTAGTTTGGGCTTGGGCCCATGAGTAACTATTGTTAGAATTTTTTAAATCATCTCTATGTTTTCTTATAAACTGAGTGACTTATATAGAGTGTCTGTGATGCGAATATAATACAGACAATATAACCTACATTGGGTGAACGTGGGTAAATCGTTTTGTCCAATTTCTCTTTTCTTCTCTTTTCTATTTTTTGATTTGTGTGTCGATTTCCAACAAGAACGAAGTAATCTCCCTTCTCCCTACCCTTTAATTTTTACCCAAAAAAGGAGAGAGTAGCTTCCCCCTATACAACTGCTTAGGATAGAGTCATTAGACAAAATCTGATCTTTGATTTTTACCATTTACGTGAAATGCTTAAGCAAATACTGTGTCAAACAGTGTTAGGGTTGTGCGAAAATAACTACGATGACCAAGCCTAGGATAAGAGAGTACACGAATAATGTTTTCCCTTTTTCACAATGTTCATTTCTGCAACATATAAAAAGTGGATGATACAATTTATATCACGAAACATATAAAAAGTATACGAGACCCACTTATTTTTTTATCTCTTTTTTTTTAATGGATCTCATTCATTTTTTTGTGAGTTGCATGAGACAATTTATTTCATGCAACATGAAAAACTATATCGCCTTATATATATATATATGAATGACTTGTAAATTAGTTTACACATTTCACTTACCCCACAAGAAGAAGTAGCGCCGATCACACCAAGCCACCACAGCGGTGGAAAAGAGAGATCCATTTCCATTAGTTAACAACACACTTCATTCCATGGCTCACATTCTCCACACTCCCTCCTCCGTGTGTAAATACTTAATTTTTATTAATTTTGAAGAAATTGTGTAAATATTTATTTTGAAATAAAATATTATGTTTACCTTTTTCTCATATTTAAATTAAGATAAAGTTAAATTATCATGCGAGTGTCATAAATCATAATTGATCAAAATACATGATTTTGTCTAACTATTAAAAAATAAATCAACAATGATGATTTTGTATCTTCTTATTCGAATTTTTCTTCTTCTATCATCACCGTTGATTCACTCTTGTGTGATTAGACTCATCACACATAATATGTTCATGTTAAATAATAGAGGAGATGATAAGTATTCATTAACATAATATATATCTATTTATATCTATTAACCACGTGAGTAGGCGTGATGGTTCAGCATCTCGTTCTTTAACCAAGTGGTTGGAGGTTCGAACCCCAACTGTTGTGAATGGAAAGCATTCCGTGACCAGCTCTTTACCGCTTTGTGCGCTGACCCGGGACGAGGGATAGTCTCATGGCTATCGACTGTGAGGATACCGTATATAATCCAAAAATAATATATATATATTGACTCGGTCAATAGGAAGTGCGAGTAGTCATAAGTCATAACCAAGGTTCTAAAAAGTATGTATTAGTTGAAATGTAAGTTGGTCATAGAGATCGGCCAAGAAGTTGAATTGAAATTGAACCTTGAAAGGCCTTCTTTGCATTAGATATATATAAAACGCCAACCAGGTGTTTGACCAACGTAAAAATAAAGAAGTTCCGTTCACTCAACATGCATTGGGAAAGGAATTATAGTGTTATTTACAAACAAAAGAAAAGAAAAGCAATTATAGTAGTTGGCGTGGACAAAATATCAAACACGCATGTTGGAAATCGTTAAAAACCGAATCAAACTTGAAGGAAGACACTTCAACCATCTACATACCACCTAGTGAACTAAATAGAGTTTGAAAAAAATTAGGAATTAACACATAATAAAATCCTTAACAAACTAAAAAAATAATTTAATTATACTATCTCTTGAAATAAGAAAATGCATCTCTCATATAAAATAAAATAGGAGAAATGATAAAAAAGACTACATTAAATTTCTTTATGAGAATAATTACAAAAAAAAAAACAAAAAAATTCTTTATGAGAATAGGAAGGCGAGAACCTCTCCCAATCTTTTTCTCCACCGTCAGTTATACCTACAACGTTTCTTTTGTTTAAATTAAGGGATTTGTATTTTTCATTTTAAATGACATAAGTTATGTCATTTTGAGAGAGAGATAGACACAGAAAATAAAAATTATGGGAGAGAAAAGGTGGGTGGTTTTTTTTAATTTAA